CACTCCTCCCTCTTGGGAATAATACACAGCCATCTTTCAAATTACCGTAAACAGAATCACAAAAATTCTCCAGACCCACTGCTTTCCTGTTCTCAATTATTCTAGATATGACCGCCATACACACATCAGTTTCTTAAGCTGGTTATGAATGCCTCCATGTTAAGGGTTCACTTCCTCCACCTTGTTACAGAATATTCCTGATACACATAATGTAAGAAATTAGGAGGGGTTTGAAGAAATGAGATCCTTATGATGTTTTATTCTGATTCTTTTGAAGAAAGCTTAGAATGGCCTTCCAGCTTAGTCCCAGGATAATGCAAAAGTTCTTGGGCTACAACCTTTTTTTTTTTTTTTTTTTTTTTTTTTTTTTTTTTTTTGTGAGGAACTAGAGTAACACTTCATATTCATTTTAGAAACAGGCTGAGAACTTTGACAAGATCACCACTTCCAGTCGCTGTACTATCATCTTAAATTATATTGCTTTCCATTAAATTGTTCATTATTAGAAGATTGATATCAGACAGCTTAGTACCTGAAAACATCCAATACAAATTCATTTTTTTCTGGGCCACAAGTCTGAAATTTATTTCTGAATGAGAATCAAAACAGTGATAAAACAAATCCTATAAGTTATACTGCTGTAACTTAAATGCAGTACTAAAATTAAGCACAATAGCCTCATGCACACATTTCTTTTTTGAACACGAATTTAAATTACTAGCTTTATCCTTATCTTAGCAGGTATGCAAATAAGCTCTTCCATTCACATTTGGGAAAAAAATGAGACTAATTAGTATCCATAGACAAATTTGAGATGTAGTCAGTTAAGTCATTTTTCACCAGAAAGCATTTATAGCCACCTTGAAGGTGCTTACAAAAAGAGACTATTTTGCTGTACTACTCACACACTTGTTAGTCTCTGCTTGTTACATAGGAACTACTTTGTTGCTAATACTATGGTCCATCATAAAGGGAGTAATATAATCAAAACAGTTTACTTATCTTGTCCACTTTCTACAGGAAAGCCCTAATTACTTAATTCTGATTGACTATAAATGCAGAATTAGACATTATAAAAGGAATTTGGTGGCAGTCTGGCAAGACAATTTGGCTATATCTAGCCAAACAGCATCTTTACAGTAAGTTCAGAGTTTCTGAATAAAGCAAAAAGTGTGTTTACCATGCAGAACAGCAGTAGAAAATTCTTGCCTTTACAAAAAAATAATGGCACTGAACTTTCTAATGTGTCTTCTGACCATTATGTATGCAGCAATTTAACCAGCAGTGAAAGTATTCTTCAAGTTTTCCTACAAGAAAAGAACTGTAATAAACCTTAATCCTGAAGGACAGAGTTCTTGCCACTAAACATGTTTATAGACAGTCTCCTGTATCTTTCTGTGCTTTGATTCAAATATAGATGTTTACCGACCTATTTAATATAAACTGACGTAATAGGCTAAATGGTCATTTTAAATCTGATACCAGTCAGCTGCCCAGCAGTATTCCAGATACAATGATATAAGTGAAATTACATGTCCAGTACAGCAGCCAGGTCAAAAGCAATTTATTCAGAAGAGACAGGCTCCTTCACATTTCAGATTACATTGCCCTTTCTCATTTGATGACACCTTATCTTTACAGAATACAGAATGGCCACTTGTTTCTCAGTTGTATCATCTCTTTAGGGTTATATAAATTTTGTGTAATTTCAGTAGAAATTTAATCAACATTGTGGATGTTAAGGCTTGGTATCACAATGTATACTGTAGAAGGGCAGAACTGCTTTGATTTTAAACCATGTTCTCTCGAACATTTAAGTGATCGTATTTTCCCCTTCTAAAACTGCATTTAAAAAAAAAAACCTAGAACTAAGCATACAAAGAAAACCCAAAAAACTTTTCCTATTCCACTAGAAATTTAACTCTTACATATTTATGTTATTTATTCTAATAAGGGATCATTATTTTTTTGCTATTCCTTCTCCCTTTCCTTTTTTTTTCTTTTTGCACTCATAAACAGACCAAATAACTCTCAAACTTTCGAGACTTTAATACAGCAAAACAACTTAACTTTTGCTTCCTTTTAGCATAATGTTTAATTTGCCATTAGCATTCCCTTTATGTTTGTATCTTATCTGCATGATTCTGCATTCAGAAAAAGCTCCCTTTGCCATTTGAAGAGGCAAAATACCAAGTGTAACCTTGTGCTGATGTACACAATTAGCCCAAGGTCAGTCAAGGACAGGGAAGCCACAGAAAGTAACAACTGAAATTATATCAAGCTAAGGGCAGGTGGTCCTTTAACTACTTAACTGACTTTTTTTGTGATCATTCATTAAGTCTTGTTTTTGATGTACCTGCCTTCTTTAAACTTAAAACCAGTCCATCCTTCCCAATTACTATTTTTTTTTAAATGTACCTTGAACTACCCATCTGTTACATCCCACAAAGGATGAAATACCACTGTCAGGGATTGCTCCAAACCTTGTGTTCAAGTGTGAAGCAGCCAGTCATTAAATACTGATGAAGCAAGTTTCTTCATGGCTGAGATGAAGCACCTGGCAATTTTAAGTGCTGCTTCAAAACTAAATTACTTACATACTTCCTGAATGTGCTCTGCAGATCACCAGTTGCCCATGAAGACTCTAGCTACATATGTTTGAATGTGAGACCATTCTAATTTTTAAAAATGTCTTCTAGAACTTAATAAATGCTTTGATAATTTCTCTGAAAACTTGACACATAGGGGAAAAGGACAGGAAAGCATCACATTTAACAAAGCATTTTTGAAAAAACATAAATGTTATACAAAGCAGCAGGACAGTGCGTTCCATTAAACTGCACCCAAGTGGATTTTCTGTTGTTAAATGCTTCTAATAGAACTCCGGCACTGAGCTGAATCTCGTAATCTGGTCAAACCGACAGAAGAATTTTATGCCACAATTACTGCGTTACTGCGTTAGAATTGTGTGATTAGTTTAAGGAACCAACTTCTGCCTACCTTCTAGGCATTTAGTAAAAGGAGGTCCCCTAAAATAAGCCTGTCCAGAGACGTGTCAGTGTCCTGTGATGCTTACACCTAAATTAAACCTAAGTTAAAAGGGTCATTTCAAGTACTTCAACTGTCTAGATAGGATTAAGCAACTAATCTCTCAGTTATACACACAAAATAGTGAGAGTATACAAAACCCCTCCTTCACAGGAACAATAAACCCACACATTGACAAATGCTTAGAGATAGCACTTTGATGATTCTGTGAAAAAGTTCAGATGATTAAACTTCCCATGACTGTAGTGTCTAAATCAAGACTTTCAACATCAGAAAGCAAATGAGAAGTACTGTGATGGACTACCAAGTATGTATCACTGAGTAACAATATGAACTTTCCTTCTCAGAAGGCCACAGATTTTGTTACAGTCATCTGACTTCCATCACCAAAAGCAGAGAATTAGTTTAAATTTTCTTCCAAAACTAAATTCATGATGCAGAGAACAGCCTCCTCTTATTGGCTGTAGCAGGCCTATCACAAGAGCACAAGTGGCATTTCTCTCAATGCAGGTCTTAACTACTATTCTAATTAGCATATAGGGTTTTTGTAATCAGTCTTCAATTTTTAAGTATAGAGAGGCTCGTCTTCTCTGTTTTAAATAAAAAAGGCAACTAGATATTTCTTCTCAAAGAATAAATAGAACGCTAGGTCAGGCAACAGTCATATATTTATTGAGTTAAACAGGCAAAAGGTATCCTCAGACATAATGGCCACCACTTGAGCAATACAAATCAATGCTACTGAAGAACAGGGAACATCTTTTCTCTCACCCCTCCCATCCCAGAAGTAACAATAGAAATACCAGGGCCCCTAGAGAAAAGAGAAGGAGAAAAATTATAAAAGGCGCTTAGAATGAGCTGCAGAGTTGAAACATGGATACTAGAAAATCATTAGGTGATCTACCATATCAACACAATCACCTCAAAAATAACTTTAATTGTTCCATTTCTACCAGGCACCAAATATGTAGCGCTGTTTAACAGCGATTTCAATGTATTAGCAACTGTCCTCAGCTGAAGCAGAACAGCAATTACTATTTATATTAAATTTGAGGCTGCAGATAGAAATAAAGGTTTCCACAGAGTACGATGAGAGTTAATGAGAGTGGGGGAGAAACAAAGCTACTTTTAAGTTACTGTATGTCTCTATCAATCAAGCAATTAATTTTGTATCGATAGCTCATTACAGACACAATATCCTCATAAGAGCATGGCAACTCTACTCACCCTGTGACAGTATATCTGAAGAATGTATCTATTAAGTCCCTTAAGTTGTGGGCCACTGAAAATCCCAGTCTGCTACTCCTGTGTGGGTATTTTTTAAGCAGACATCAGCAAAAAAGCAAAGAGACTGCATGCACAACAATTGTTGCTAAATTGTCTTCCGTTTAACAGTTGAAAAATATGAGTAAGGCAATCCTCAGATTTACAGAAAACATTAGGAGGCTGTAGCTTTGCAGGCAAGGAGACCTTTTATTTTAATCCATTAAAAGAACCCAAAATAGTCAGCAGGTGGCCACATCTATCCATGTTTCATTAAAATCACATAAACCCTAAGTACAAAAGCACCACTGATTATTGCTCTAGAAAAACCGCATGAAAAATTCAAATACGCACAGTAAAAACATCACCATATGCACAAGACTTAATTTCTTAAAGCAAGTGTATGGAATGCTGATCCAATTTTACACATACCTTGCAATATTAAGTTGATATATATATATATTACTTGGCAACAATGGGAATTTCTAAAAGCACTGTTATGAGAAGGGAAATGTTCATATACAGTTTAATATGTCAACTATCATAGTCCTAAAAAAATTAGCATTTACAAAATACTTGATAAAAATATCTTTTAAAAGTTGTCCAAGAGGTACATAAAATCAACCCAAAATTTTCATGATATTTCATTCATTCTTGTCACCTACAGATTCAGTTTTCTGAGCCTGTGGAAAAGAAAGAAAGAAATTAATTACTATAGTAAACTGCCATTGCATGCCTAGATACCCAAACTACTCTTGCTTCTTCATTTCTGATTTGCAACAGTTCCGTTTCAAACCTATGTCCATATTACATTTACACAAACAAAACAGGTACATTCACACACTTCGCTTAAAATTATCAGTCCCAGCTTTTCAAAAGCAATACAAGCCTTACCTGTCAGCTTCTTGTTCATACTGAAAAGCACCACACTACTATCTGTTTCTATTCACTGCACACATGCTGAATGCTCTACCGTACCCTTAACTTTCACTGTTTCAATCTGCCCTTTTACTGACAGTGTGCTGGGTGGGGCACCTCTGGATGTTGAAACACTAACAGTTGAGCGAGAGATGCGAATCTGCAATAACATTATGGGCAATAAAAAGAAACATTATGAACATGCTATCAATGTCTGAAAGGCTGAATAATTAAAAAACACTGATTCAATCAGCAGGAGGTATGTGTGGAAAGTACCTCTTCAGCTTTATTTTCACCATTTTCAGATGGTGTAGTACCTTCCTTTGCAGCTTCTTGCTTTTCATCCTTCTTCCCTTTAGCACCTTTGTTGGCCTTTGTTCCAGGTTCCTTCTGACAGAAGATTAAAAAATGGGCATAGATACTGTATGAGTAGCCAGCACCCTATGTTTTTATCAAAAAACCTTCATATGAACTAAAAAGCAAATCTTGGCAAGCTGCATGTGCTGAACTGAAACACAAAACCAACTAAAGACTACCTGGAAAAACGTATATCCACAAAAGTTATACAGAGACTCTCAACATTTCTAGAAAATTCTGATATCTGCTTCTTTACTGTTTCTGCTAATTTACAGGGATACAAAAAACCCTCAGACTATTGTGGTAGAGCTGAGCTGTATTATACAGAGGTACATACAAGATAGCTGTATGAACAAATCCAATTAAAGTATATTGAAAGCTAATTCAGCCAAGCACAAACAACTCACTGTTTGTGTAACAGCACCACACTTTCAATTAACATGAAATATTAAATTAGATTTAAAAAATTAAGCATTTTTGTTGGCTATCCTTTTGTTAGTTTGATAACATCTGTGATGTTCATTCCATGTCAATGGAAGAACCAACCAACATACTAGGGAGACAAACACTGATAAAATTTCATCTGCAGCAACACAAAGCACAGAATTTATCAAAAGGAACTATTCTAACAGCTACAGTTTCATTTGGAGATTTGCTCTTAAACAATTCATGTTGAAGTCTACTTTATAAAAAATTTTTGCTCTATGTACACATTTATATTTGTGATCTGAGGTTAGTAGAGACATAGGATAAGGATTTTAAGTGCAATAGGATAAAAAAATCATGTGGTATTTAATTGTATGTTTTACATTAGTGTTTAAAGTAGTTCTGATAAACACTGCAGAGAACTTCCATGGGATCATTTGCTTCAAATGAGAGTAGCTGTGAACAAGCATATTGAGGCCAGTCTCCTTTCATTTACTACCTTTCCCCAGCGATCCCCACACAGGAGTGGGGCAGTGAGGAGGGAGTGCCGGTAATCCTAGTTCCAGGGCAACCTGATTTACTCCCTTCACCATCCATGTTACACAATAGCTGTGGTGCTTACCTGAGATGCTTATTGGTGGTGTAAGTATAGTCCTAACTCTTCATCTACCAAAGAACACACTAAGGACTTGACTTAGTAAATCCATAATTTGCAAGCTTTTAACACCAAAAATTATCTCAAATCTGTACCATTTTAGGAGACCAAGATTAATATTCTCCTTTATTTGTGATCCAGTTAGAGATTGGAAAAGAGCAGATTACTGTACTAAAATCTTACTCAGAATAATGTCATAAAGGATTCAAGATGCCTGAAATGAGCTTGAAATGTCTCTCATATAGCTTAGACTGACTCTGTAACACCGAGCTCATTCCACAACATGTACATGAAGCTACAGAAGCTACTGTATCTTTATTAATACTCTTTTTTAAGAGGGGAAGCAGGATGGACTCAGCAAGACTTTATTGGTCATTTCATTTGATAAATCATAAAGTGTTCAAAGTCATAGAGTTTTACTTTCACACATAGACTTTGTATCCTGATACTTGCCCAACTGAGATACCAATAAAAGGACTTGAAAAATGTAAGTGTGAGGAATGCTAGACTCAGTTTCCAGCATGTTTTTTTTCCCCAATAAAGCAATTGCTCTTATTTAACATTCCCCTTTGGCACAAATAAATCTACAGTTTCTGAAGTATATGATTTATATGCAGAAATCCTAAAAAGGTATTTCAGACACTAGTAAGATTTTAATTTGACTGTAACTGGCCTAGAAAACCCAAGCCATTCAATTTAAATACATTTAATTTCACCTTTAATTATAATTGTGCATTCTCAGCAACGGCCAGGCTTCAAGAACAGATAAGAGTTTCTCTCTGTGAAATGAAGTACTGACCCTCTAGACAAGGAAACAGGATGGCACAGAGTAATCTCAAATTGTATTGCAGAAATTGCTAGGTCTCAGATAGAGCTTACTCAACCAAACCTGTACATTTCAAGAAAGGTGTAGGAAAGGTAAAGTTTCTTCTTAAACTAGGAATTCACTACAAACTAACATGGTCTGCATACCAAACAGGCAAGACATTTTGTTTGGGCCAGTAATGAGGCCAGGAAGGGGTGGAACAGAAAACTTTTCCCATTTAATAATGCCTGAAATATATTTACACACCAGGAACAAATTGTCATGTGGTGCTTTTTGTTTGGTTGGTTGTTGGTTTTTTTCCTCAATGAATTTACCTTTTTTGTTTAGTATGAGGAGAAGGAGGTGAATGAACCATGAGAATTATTACTCATGTTTATGTACTCTGTAGGATCTCTAAGGCATCAATCAAGAGGGGAGCTTCACTGTGCTAAGCACTATGCAAAGCCACAGTAAGGGAGAGCACATAT